GTGATAGAATAGCATGGACTATTGCTTCTTTTTCCTTTATTAGAAGGCGCTTTTGTTGAACAAGATTGACTATTATTTACCCAACCTTTAGATGGTGTATCGTAAGTATCACACCACGTTTCATTCAAATAAATAATAGGTCTATTCTCTAGACGATACTGTTAAATTTTGTTTAAATATTCCAATGGCCATATGCGTAAACGATAGAATTCCATAAGTACCTGTCTTTTATCTACTTTTTTGTATTTAAATCCTATACGTTGCAAATACTTTTAAACAGTTGTTCTACCGCATTTAATTTCAGTGTTGTCGACGTGAAGCCTGTCAACTAATATAATATATTATCTAATGACTAGATTTTTCTGCCTGTGGATAATGGATTTTTAGTCAAAGTTGCCGTTTCATGTAGGGCTTCGTTATTATCCATGTTGTTTTCGACAACTGTTTGAAAAGCATTGGAAATAATTTGTTTTGCATCGTAGATATATGTAGTCGTTGGCGGTGTTCAGGTTCTAATACTTGAATGAGACCACCTCATATTTGCCCTATTATCCTCTAAACTCCAGGGACGCCACATTGTTTTATACAATAAAGGTAAATTTAGTATAGATACTGGCATCAAGTGGCAAGAATAAAGGTTGAACAAGAACTGTTGGATGAAATAAATATAAAAAGAGGAGTTAGACAAGGCTGTATATTGTCGCCTTTACTTTTTAACTTTTATTTGGAGGAAATATTTAAGGAAGCCTTAATGGAGACAACCGAAGGTATTATCGTGAATGGAGTAACCGTCAACAATATTAGATATGCCGACGATACCTTAGTCCTTGCCAATTGCGGAGAAGACCTTCAAAATCTAATGAACAAAATAAAACAGACTTGTGATCAGTATGGATTAAAACTCAACGTTAAGAAAACTAAATATATGATAGTTAGCAAACAAGATTATATACATAATGACGGTATAAAAGTTGGAGATGCCACACTGGACAGAGTAGAGAAACTCGTGTATCTCGGCAGTAATATCAATGAGAGCTGGGATCCAACCGCAGAAATTAAAAGCCGAATAGAACAAGCCCGAGCTGCCTTTGTAAAAATGAGAAACGTACTTTGCAGTCACGATCTTAGCATTGACCTTAGAGTTTGTATGCTATCTTGCTACATCTTTCCTGTCCTGCTGTATGGAGTAGAAACGTGGACCCTAACTGAGGCTATGCTTAAACGCTTGACAGCCTTTGAGATGTGGGTATACAGACGACTACTGAAAATAAGCTGGGTCGACAGAGTTAGAAATGAGGAGGTCCTTAGACGGCTGAACCAAACAACACAACTGGTCAATATAATAAAGAAACGCAAGCTGGAATACTTCGGTCATATTATGAGACACCCTGAAAAATATGATCTTTTACATCTGATCATTCAGGGAAAGATCCAATGTAATCGTGGTCCTGGTAGAAGAAGAACATCATGGCTGAAAAATCTAAGGCAATGGTATGGAAAATCAACTACATCGTTATTTAGAGCTGCTGTCAATAAAGTCACGATAGCGAATATGGTAGCCAACATGATATCCAACGATCGATATCGGTCATAAAACTAGAAGAAGAAAGGTAAATTTGACTTACGTGGACTTACCATCTTACACACTCTAAATTTAAAAATAAACACTTTTATAACAATACTCAACTAATTGTTTGCACAAACTGAACACTCAAATGACTTTACAATCAATTTCATCGAAAGCAGACTTTTAAGTGTTAGTTTGTCATCGTACAATGCTCTTCAAATTAAAAATCAATTAACGATAAATAACAGGTAGAAACTTATATAAATTCAAAGTAATTTGATAATAGGTCAATTGAGTTAAACGTTTACTTATCATTACTGTATATACGGGTTTGTCAGTTGGAATGTGCTGAATGTGCAAAACTTATTAATTTCCAAAGCCGGTACAGTCAATCTGACTAAATTAAGATCTTCATAATTTTTCATTTTCTTCGTTGAGACATAACATAATAATTAATAAAAGGTTTGTTTGTTTATAAAAAGAGTTTTTTGATATTATGCTTAAATGATAATATTTGATCTGATTATATGTACCTATCTACAGTTGACTTAGCTATATGCCGGTCCTGGCAGTTTGGCTGGCTGTGATAATTATACTACAATAGAGTACCTATTTACAAGGGACTATTTAGTTTTACGGCTGTTATTAAAGTAACTTTTATAATGAGACACTAAATTTCTAGATACACTATAACTAAGCAAACATCATTATTTCCAATATGAATGACAATGTTTCAAAAATGGCACTGATATTACTTAGTAATAATGGAAATTATATTAGTTTATATTTTACCTTTTTGTGGTCAGGCCATTAAGTTCGGGTGTCTACATTAGAAAACTGACTTGCATCCTACCCTTCAGGCTATGGCATGCTGGACGAGCCATATAGTCTGTAGTCAACACCATGGAGTATAAGCGGGAACACAAAGTGTATTAATACTCATACGCTTATGAAACGCACCTGGCGGATCATAAGGCCTTCAAATTTTACCCTTATTCAACTTGCCTTTAGTGAAATGTCTTTATTCTTTTCTATGAACCTGTCTTGGCTAACTCTTGCTTTTTCACATATCATCAAACTTTGTTTTCTTCTCTTCTCTGTGTTTGGAATTACCAAACACAATTAAAACTAAGTTTTAATCCGTGATTTTATCACGGACTTATGGGCGGTTATTGTATTAGAGCAAAATCACACGATGCAATCACCCGATTGTTCTACCATTTCATTGACATAGCCATAACTAATGCATACATACTGCATAAACGGATCCACGCGGAAAAGGTCAACACCTCAAGTAATGTCTCGGCCAAAGAACGGGTATTGCAATTACCACAATTTCGTGAAGCAGTTGCCGCTTTTCTGGTAGCCTACCAAGAAAAACGGCCCGTTGGTGGTCCACAACTATCAACATCGACCATCACATTTCGTAGATCCACAGCCAGGCAGCTCGAGCGTTGGTCAAAAGTAAAAACATCCACTTCACATCCACACTCACGACGGTCAAGACCTTTTCCCAATCTAGCTCGGCAAAGAGGGTGGAAAGAGATGGTGCAAATTGTGCAAGAAGTCACAAACGCAGTGTGTTTGCTCAAAATGCGATCTCCATTTATTCTGTTCCAACGCCAAAAACTGTTTTTTTATTACCACGCTAAAAAATAATTTATTTTATTTATCTTTTGTCATATATCTTCATCCATTTATTGTATTATTTTTTTATCCCTTAATAAACAACATTTTTTATTGATAATTTTACCTAATGCGTGCCCTGAGGCACTGTTTTTCCTTTTGACTACCTGACATATTATCTGGAAACGAGCAAGCCACCTCTGGATGATTTTTTGGGCGTTTTTACACGCTAATTATACTAGAAAAAAAATTGCTATTCATTTTTTTTCACGTTGAGAGTTTTGACTGGTAGAGATTTAATAAGGTAATCCTACTTGTGAAAGCTCAAACATAGAGACATTATAATTTTTAATATTACTCATAAAAGCACGTTTATAAATTCCCACCCAAATTTAGCCATTTTAAAATAGATACCGTCTGGTATAATAAGACAATGCGACGAATATAGCGCTATTTTGTTGATAGCGTGAGCGCTGAAATTCTTTCTATAAAGAACGGCGACGGTGTGACAAATTAGAACATACGATGCTGTGAACGACCTTAGGAAAAGGTATTATAACTTTTTTATTACCCATCTTGGATGCAAGCGTGTCAGCAATGATATACAATTATGTTTATAAAGGACAAGCACGATACGTTGTTAAAATTTTATATCAAAAACAAAGTTTTCTGCCTAAAAAAATAAATTATTTTTAATAAAAATGTGGCAACAAACTTCAATTGCTTTTATGATAAATTAAGGGTATTTTAAACAATTAAAACAACACCACAAACAACTTCATACACAAAACAAAATAATGTTTATAATGAATTTTATTTTAAATTATGAAAATAAATTGAAAACGTGTACATGAATAAATAAACATAATATAATTTTGGTGTGAACATAACGAGCAAACGAATACGAGACCATATAAATATATTATTATAAAAAATAAATCCGTTGTTAAGGCATAATGTTACTATGTTTAAAAAAAGATACGTATAATAATTTATTACTAGTTATTAATTAATTATTTTTATACTAGTCTAGTAACATAACATGTACAATAGGGTGTATCATCACTTTCAAGTTGATAAAAAGTTGCCTCTTACATTACTTTTTCAGGGAAAACAAGTTTTGTTTTAATTAAAACATATTTAGGTCTCCCGGAGTCGACTTAAACTTTAGAATTTTTTCTCAAAAACACGATTTTTCTTCTTTTTTTTATTGAAAATTAAGTTTTATATTTTTATTGTCAACTTAAAAAAATATTAAGTACGTGATAACAGTGAACAATAAAAATTAGAATAATATCTGTAACTAAGCATAAAGTCACCCGGAATCTTTATGAAAATCTCAATTGTAACAACGAAAAATCAATATCTTCTCTTTATTATGATTTGGTGTTAAACCTGTTTGTTGCTTCTACTTAGGTTATTAGGATTATTAGCATTCTATAACATAATTAATGAACAATAAATTACATATTTACTTATTTAAACTTTAGGATAACTTATGTTAAAACATTAAAAGACTGTTTTTGAAGTAAGAAATTTATTAAAGAAATACTAAAGATTACAGATATAACGTTGACAAAGAAAAATCTTTAAAATGGTTCTTTATTTCATCTTGAAGGATGTTGGCTAAACAAATCCAGTTAGCCTTCAGAGCCAGAGGTATTGTAATGCTTCTTTGATCTGGAACCAAAGGAATTTGTTAGGTCGAGTGTCACATTGTAATTATAGTACTAATACTAAGTTGCTATTGAAAATAGAATGCTGTGATGTAATCCTAAATAAGTATGAAATTAATCTTACCTGTAATTTATTTTTGCACTACAGCTGTAGCAGATGTGTACTGTCGCTTAGTTTCAAACTTAGGAAGATACTTTCTGTCCAATAATCTTGATCTTATAAAGCCTTCTCGTTCTTGAACGCCACAAACGTACTTAGAAGCTGCAGTAACTTTCTTTACAACTCGTTCTACCGTTTGAGTGTGAAGTGGTATTTTAAACTCTTTTCTATCACTGCTTCCTGAATTAACAGTCATCTCAATCTCTTCTTTACTGAAGTCAGCTATACGTGGTAGTTCTGTGACTGTGGTGGATTGCCAGTCAATGAGATCGATGTAGTCTTCTGCCTCAAAATTAACTTGTGTTGGTTTGAAGACTCGATGTGCCCTTGTTTCTGTCTGTCAAGCCTTTTCTATCGATTTGCCTGCCAAAGCTCTTATATGTTTTCGAGAGTCAAACAACATCCCTAGAAGAATGTGTTCAGGATGAGCCATAAAGACGTTTCTTTGCAAGGAAGACTGAGCCACAGCCTTCAGTTTACTGTCTAAAAACTTGGTGCACTGTACGATGAAGAAAAAGTGTTGTGATGCGTGGATAATTTTAAGACGATATTTTATGGTAAACTATGAGGTAGCATAGATTTTCATGACGAACTCAGCAAGCTTTCTAAGTTGTGGGGTTGGTTCAATAGTTGAAATATAGAGACGTAAGATTCTATTTGCTAATGTCAGCCACCGGGCGTGGGACAAGTGTCCGGGGTTTCTACTGGCTAACTCAGGGGGACATTCACCTTTGACTACAACCTGACATATATTCCAAAGGTATTTCTGGTACTTGTTTAAGTCTTTACTATCGACTTCTGGAAAGGTGCTATCTATTTTGTCATAATTAACAACCGGGAAGTTTAGACAGTTGGTCAAACATGGTCACTTGCATTGCAACTTTTTCTGTAGTTGGTAGCATCCTTTAGATTTCAACTGATTTCTTACCCATTCAAAATACTCCAGTACGTCACTTTTAGTATGTAAAACATTAATATCACTAATGTCAAGAGGCTCTCCGACTATAGGAGCTTCAGTGTATTTCCTCGTTGTTATAGTGTTTGTCTTTTTACTCATGATAGAAAAACAACAAAACCACACGGAATTCACAAGTCATAAACCACACACACTAAACAAAACACACTGAAATACATGTAATAATGAGCAAACCACGTGCTGTCAGATTGAACGGTGGAGTCAGACTAACACATACCCTGCGAACTCAATGTAAAAAATTGTTCCATATATATAGTAAGATTCCAAATAACGAGATGGCGCCTGGCACTTATTTCAACTGGATCGCTAGTATATGTGGTAGAAGGCTAAGTAAAAAAGAAAGAAGAATATTGAGTTTTAAGTTGGGCAGTTGTGTTTATAGGTTGGTTGGGTTGTATTTTCCACGTGTTTGGTGTTTGGACCTAGTTCTCGGGTTTGGATTTGGATGTTTGTGCCATTTTGTAGTATACAATATAAATTTATTACGTTTTTATTTTGTACTCACGTGAAATAAATGTTTCCTATTTTAGTTTTTAATAAACATTTTTAGTGTATAGATTATTTTAGTTTTTAATAGACAGTTTTAGTGTATAATTTATTTTTGTTCCCTCAACTCTACTTGTTTCAAGGTAATGTGAATAATTCCAAAGGTAGAAAGACAAATATGGTATAACTTTTTTATTCTAGCATATTTCTATTCTAGTGTAATACTCCAATGTGATGAAGAATTTGTGTTGTCAAAACAATTTAATATACTCGAGATTTATGTTAGATTTATTGTAATAAATAATGATTATTACTGTTAATTGTTAGTTTTATTATTGTTCTTACTTTGTCCATATATACTTCTCATTTTTTTAATATCATTGCTGCTCATGCTAAATTTGATATGTGCATGTTATTAATTTTTTGTTTTTGCAATAAAAATATTTTTATTGCAAAAACTAAAAATTAAAAGATTGCACATATGGAATTTGGTATGCCAAGCAAAGATCTTCCAATTATTAGTTAGCCTTCAAGATCCCAGAGGGCGCTAAATAGATTTGAATTTCGCGCCAATCGTCATTGTCGTCATAACGTTACAGGGATCTTTCAATTTATGGAGATTAGTTAGATTCCAAAAATGTAGATGGCGCTAGAATTAGTCACCAATTTAGTCTATAGAGAGTGCATTCTACCTAACCTTCATCTTATCTATGGACTAACAGAAACAAAGGGTGTGAGTGAGTGTTGGAGTGGAGCCAGACATCCGGTGACTCACAAGTCAGTGCCAGCTGCCCGTCTCCAAGATCAACTTCTGCTTAGCTGACGGACTTAGTTTTGACCAATTGCATTAAAATTTAGCACTGTAATGATTGTATTAGGATTTTTTTTTACTGTTTCTGATTCATGCCAAACTTGAATTAAATATGAAAATTGTGATATATTTATGGTAATTTCGGGTTACCTAAATAATTTAACTCAAAACCACAATGTTTACTATGGATAAATTAAATGTAAAAATGCACATTTTTTAACTTGATTACATCATTTGTAATTTATAAACTGTGTAAATTATTTTTTCAGAAACGTATTTTTTTACAAAAAATTACAAACTTTTTGTACATTCCGGGAGACTTAAATATTGTTGGAATTCAAAAAGATTTTTTTTTTGGTAGATCTACGATGGTAGTAACAACTTTTTATCAACTTGAAAAATTAAATAATAAAAAAAAAATGTGATACACCCTAATGTACAAAAGCAGCAGAAATCTTTAATAATAGACATCCTGATAAAACTGTACACTTCAGAATTGTAAAGTTGTAATGTGTCAAAAATTCGGTTGTTATGGCCTATCCAATTTTCGTCATTTTAGTATAATATGACGAAATATATTATATAACTCATCTATTTTGAGTAACAGTTGAGTACATAATAAAAACTTTATATACCGCTCAGGTGCTATAATATGATTTTCGTTCTAAAACTTTATTGTCCTTTGAGTTGTTGCTTATCTTTTTCTGCTTCTGCTTCTTCTTTCTTAGCTTTTCCCTTTTCAGGGATTGCTATTCCTCACTCTTCGTCGCCATCATTTCTGTCCATCGGGTCTTCTTCGCCTAAACCTTTCTCCCTCGAGTCCTCTGCCACACAGTCCTTCCACCTTTTCGTCGGTTTTCCGCTAATTATTCTATCATTAACTTCTAACAACTGTATTCTTCGTCCCACAAAGTTTTCATCTTTACGTCTAACATGACCAAACCAATTGCAGTTTTCGTTTTTGAGTCTCTTTTGCGTCTGTATTTATCTGGGATCTTTACCTGATCAAGTCGTTTCTGATCCTGTCCCTTGTACACACACACCCTTGTGCATACACACTCTTGTATATATTTCTTTTTAGCTCTTTAACGTTTTTTTTTACCACAAATTGCCCCGCTTATTCGCTTCCAGTAAAACCAACCAGCCTGTATCCTGTTGGCATTTTATCGATCTAGTGTCCCATTTTTTGTCAGCCAGGGTGTTTAAATTCTCCAACTCATCCTAGCTTTTCTCCAAGCAATTCTACATTCCCAACGATTACTCTTCCCCCAACCACATATACTCCGTTTTCGACCTGATTACCTGATTAGAAGTCCTCTTTCTTCAATAGCTCTCTTCAACTTCTTATTTAATATTGATTTGTTTTCCTCTACTAACACGATATCATCAGCAAAGAGCATTGACCAAGGAGCCCCCTTCCTTATTTTCTCTGTCAGTACATCCATACCAAGATTAAACAAGTAAAGACTCAGTAAAAGCCTTGATCAGCATATCAGATATCAGATATGCCAATGATACAATACTTATTGCAGAGAATATACAAGATCTACAGACACTCTTAGATAAAGTAGTAAATGGTAGTGAGGAAAGCGGACTAACGCTTAATGCTAATAAAACAAAATTTATGACAATTTCCAAAACACAACAAGACAGTTTAAACATAAGAGGGGTTCCAATAGAAAAAATAAAATAATACAGATATCTTGGTACAATTATTATTTAATAAGTTTAGAAAAGTATTATGCAGTAGAGACCTTAGTTTGCAACTCAAAATAAGAATATTACGTTCATATGTGGTTTCGGTGCTGCTGTATAAGGTAAGGCCTGGATGTAAGGCCTGTATCTTAAAGAAAGAGGTGAGAGATCGACTTGAAGCATTTGAGATGTGGACCTACCGAAGAATATTAAAAATAAGTTGAGTAGACCGAATAACAAATGTTGAGGTCCTCAAAAAGATTACAAAGGAAATGGAAATCATGAATACAATTAAGATAAGAAAGTTACAATATCTTGGCTACGTTATGAGAGGGGATAAATATGTGTTGCTACAAACCATAATGCAGGAAAAAATACAGGGAAAACGAAGTATTGGAAGAAGAAACATCTCCTGGCTCAACAATCTGAGAAAGTGGTATAATTGCAGGTCCATCTACTTGTTCAGAGCTGCAATCTCAAAAGTGAAAATAACTGTGATGATTACCAACCTCCTTAGAGGATACGGTACCTAAAGAAGAAGAAAAGCTTTGATGTAAAACAAGCGTCACTGGAAAACTTTCGGTCAAGCCGACAGCAGTCTGTACTTTGATGTATGCTCCCTTATACATATCCTTCACGAGTCTTACTTACTTCTCAGGAACCCTATGTTCTATAGATCTTGTCTTTTAAATGTGTGGTATGCCTTTTCAAGACTTAATAATATCAAATTTAGCTCTCTTTTCTTCTTTCTGAATTTCTTTATTTACTATCTTAATGCAAACAAGGCATCCGTTGTCTATCCTATGTCTATCGATGTCTCCCTTCTTAACCTTTGCTCTACAGTTCTCTTCCAAATTGTGTGTTTTAATAACTTTATCCCTTTATAGTTCTTAGAGTCCTGAATCCCCTTTATCTTTTCACAATGGTACGACCAGGGTGTTGTCCATGCATTGGGCATCCTTACTTTCTCATATATCCCATATCATCTGCCACACAATATCAACAATACCCTTGCCTAGAGCCTTACAAACTTCCACAGGTATTCCATCACATCTTACTGCCTTACCATTATTCGTCTTATTTAACGGCCTCGACAACTTCATCTCTTGCTATCCCTCATGTCTCTCCTCTGGTATTCTACATTTAGCAACTAACTAAAGTACTCATACCATCTGTGCTTTATTTCAATATCGGTTCTTAACAGTTTTCTATCCGCACTCTTAATTTG